GCCGGCGCTGCGGCCGCTCTTGGCTGCGCCAGGGTGCGGGGAGGGGGGGAGTCGATGAGACGCGTGCGGGGGGCCGAGCACGGGGCTGCAGGCGAGTGAGTTTTCCGGGCGCCTCCAGGTGACCAGCAGGAAATACCCGAAGCTAAAGGAGGTGGACGACGTCCTGGGAGGCGCCGCTGCTTGGGAAAACGTGGATTCCACAGCAGGTGAGAGCCTAGTAGAGCCGGTGCCGGCTCGGCCTCGTCGGTCCTGCTGCTCATCGCCCGCGCACGAAAGGCCGCTGGTGAAAGGTGCTGCTGGTGCTTCCTGTCCAGCGGCGCCTTCGGCTTCAGCCCGCTGCCCCACACTGTTCTCGAGCCCAGTGCCTTGCATGCAGGCACGCTGAGCTATCAGCTCTGCAAGAGAAGCCACTGCCTTGAGTAGGTGGGAGGATTAGTCTGCACTGGGCTGCACTTCAGGAAGATGGATCCTGAAGTGATACAAGCTGTGCTTCTTCCACACAGGGACAGTGGGAACTTATGGTGCTGCGAGGGATGGTTCTTGGGCCACAATACTTGAAACAATTGAAGGGTCATGTTTATCCATTCTTCTCTTGCCCACTAAGCTCCACATGCATGCTACAGTGCTGTCTTTCTGGGTCACTAAGCAGCTTGAAATGATGATTCTGAGAAATGTAAACAGCTCCCTCTCTCTCTTGTCATCTTATGGTGTTATTCTAAAGCTTGACTGTGATAATTCACTTGATTTCCTATGGCTCCAAGCAGTAGTGGAGGGTTTTTATGGCCAGTGTTTTAGCCACAAACCATGGATTGGCGACCACAGTTTGACAAAATGTCCTAGCTTTGATCATTTTAGTATGATCGTAGTAAGATGAAGAGGTCACAGAAGTGAAGCGTGGCCCAGTTGAGAGTGGGACCTAGAAGTTCTTTCAGAAAAGGGAATTGGATTGAATAGAGAAATCTTACCGTTGCTTTTGCGAGTTAGGGAAAATGAATAAAGGGGAAAGAAAGACGAGAAAACAGAGCAGTAATTGTGTTTGGTAGTTGACAAATTAAATGCACACTCCCTTTTAGAAGTGCTGAATACGACAGTCATGTACAAAACAAATGTGATATTTAGATGCAACATAAGATGTTATCTATCAAAGATAGATAATTTTGTGTAAAGCCTGCAGCTAGAATCTGCTGTGGATTCAGAAGCAGAGTTTGAAGCCCTACACACATTTTGGCCTGTGAATTGACATAGAAAATGGAATTCATCTCCCTCTCCACCCTGTGTGCCTTATCTTTAATCTGACATGTCTGCCTCTCTCACCTCCTTACAAAAGAGAGAAGACCACCTGACTCAAATTGCACTGTGGCAGTATTGCTGGTCCTGGTTGGTTTCATGAAACTGCTGTAATTTCTGTGCTAGTCCTTCTCTACTCCTAGCTCTGAGTGGGACTTGCTTTCTGCTGATCTCTAGTCTGCAGGAGACATGCTGGCCTTTTGGTAGCCAGTGTTATTCAGATCTCCTGCAACTCTTAAGAAACTAGATGGTCCTCACTGATTTTGTTTAATCAGTTGATGTAATGGAGTGTGCTCAAGGACAAGAAATGTCCTGTGTTAGAGATCCTACCCCTAAAGTTCCATTAAGTTTTCTCAGAGCTTAAAGTTGGGCAGATGGAATGTTTACAAAAAAAATCCATCTCTTGGGTTCATGGTTTGTGGAAGGTTGAATTTAAGTAGAACCTACCTACACCCCTCTGTGACATAAGGAAGAATTGCTCTGCCAAGCTCACTTCACTTCTAATGTTTCTTTTTCAGAACCGTGTCCCAAGTGTGAACATCCACGTGCCTACTTCATGCAGATTCAGACCAGATCAGCTGATGAGCCTATGACCACATTTTATAAGTGTTGTAATGCTCAGTGTGGCCACAGGTGGAGGGATTAACTTTCCTATCATATGTGTTAGTTCCTGTTTGTTCAAAACAAAACAAAAAATCCAAAAAAGCATCTCCATCTGGTTTGTTGAATGTGAGATGCTAATTCTAATATAATAAAGGGCTTTGTCTGTCCGTAACACTTTTGGGCAAGTGTGCGCGCACGGTTTTAAACTGGGCACATTACTGTCTCCCAGAAGGGAGAAAAAAATGGTGCCAACTTTAAAATCACAGCTTTTGTAGCTGCTTCTCTGCAGCCATGTGGGGCCCCTCCCCCAATGGGGCTGGGGAGGTAGACTGGGGCTGGGCTGGCCAGGAATGCAGTGCAGTGCAGGCAGGGGGACCAGAAGCACTGTGCTGTGCTGTGCAGCAAGGCAGGGAGCAGCGCTGGGGGGGCCACAGCCCCCCAACATTCACCTTATCACCTGGACCTGCCCCTCCCAGCACTGCCACCTGCATGAGAGGTGGGGTGCAGTGTTGCCAGCCTGGCCCCTTGCACATGCATGGCTGCAGGGACACAGCCCAGCAGCAGCTCCCTCCCGGTCAGGGGGGGGGGGGGGGGGGGGGGGGGAGGGGGCGGCGGGGGCGGCAAAGATGGCTGCCTCAGTGTGATGGGGAGGTCCTGGGAGGGGAAGCTGTGTTTGTGTGTGTGGACGTGTCTGCGTCTGCACTTGAGTGCGTGTGTGTGCATCTCTGTGCACGTGTGCTCATCTGTGTGCACATCAGGTCATCTGTATGCATCTGCTTCTATGTGTGCATGTCTATGCATGCATGTGTCTCTGTTCATGGCAGGGAGACTGTGTCCATGTGCAGAGGGTAAGTGAGTAGAGTGCGTGTCTGTCTGCGTGTGTGCATGTGTCTGTGCATGCGTGTGCCAGTGCATGTGTGTGTGCCTGTGTCTGTTCATGGCAGGTGGGAAGGTGTGTTTGTGTCTGTGTGTTCATGTACAGAGAGTGAGTGAGTAGAGTGCATGCCCGTGTATGTGCGTGCATGTGTTTCTGTGCATGCATGCGTGTGTGTGTGTGTGTATCTGTTCATGGCAGGGAGAGTGTGTTTGTGTCTGTGTACAGAATGAGTAGAATGCATGCCCGTTTGCATGTGCATGTGTGTGTCTGTTCATGGCAGGAGGGAGAGAGTGTTTGTGTCTGTGTGTCCATGTGCAGAGAGTGAGTGAGAGTAGTGCGCATGCCTCTGTGTGTGTGTGTGTGTGTGTGTGTGTGTGTGTGTGTCCATAGTGGGATGGGGGGTGGGGAGCAGGGAGAAGAGGCAGGCATGTCCCCGCCTCCCCTGCTAGCACCAGGAGGGGAAGGGGCCCTCTTCTCCCCTACCCCATTCTAGCTCCCATGGGGGTGAGGGGGCCTCCAGTTTTGTGTTTGCCCAGGGCCCTGGTATACATTAATCCACCTCGGGGCACGGGTATGTTTGTGTCCATGGCAGGAGGGAGAGTGTTTGTGTCTGTGTGCACAAAGTGAGTGAGTAGAGTGTGTGTGCATGTGCATGCATGTGTGTGTGTGTCTGTGTTCCTGGTAGGGAGAGTTTTTTTGTGTCTGTGTCCATGTGCAGAGAGTGAGTGAGAGTAGTGTGTGCCCATCTGTGTGCATGTCTATGTGTGTATGTTAGTCCATAGCTTGATGGGGGAGCAGGGAGAGGGGGCAGGCATGTGCCTTCCCCAGCCCAGCATGGTCACTCCAACCTCCCTTGCCAGCACCAGGAGGGTTAGGGGCCCTCCCCCACAACCTCCCTGCTCCTGTGGGGGTGAGGGAGTCTCCAATTTTGTGTTTGCCTAGGGCCCCGGTACACATTCATCTGCCCCTGGATGCAGGGCTGGACAGGGAGCGGTGGGGGCTGCGGGCCTGGACACAAAGTGTGTTGGGGGGCGGGTTGCATGTGGCTGGATGCGGAGCAGCGGTAGCATAGGATGGTGGGTGGTGGTCGTAGCCATGTACAAACTCCCCCTGCTTCCTGGGAGGCAGCAGTGGTGGGTGGTGGTGCTCCGTCCTTCCCCCTCCCCCCCATCATTCTTGACAGGCATTTGGCTAGTATGAAAATAAATGTCCTACGTTCTACCTGTTGTGTGGTGTTGTGATTGATGTTGCTATTGCTTGTATTCTCTATAACCTGATGATCAAGGGGCAGGTTGTGGCTGACAGTTAGGCATACAGTGCAGATTTTTCTAAAAGCAAATATCAGAGCAGACAACTGCTCGTGTTTTTGAATCACGTGCAAAAACTTATTTAACCAGAGCTTCTTGCCATAGTTCTAACTCTTCTGTCTTCTGGGGATTCATTACGTTAGTTGTATTGCTAACTTCAGTAATAATCTTCTCTGGTCTGAGGCTAAGTATTGTCAGTGCTGATCAATGTGTAGAAGGGAAATGGTCAACTGAAATTTGAAAGTGGTGCAAGCATTTGAAAATGCGTGCCTCTGTGATTAATCATGAACTTTCTGTTACTTACTGATATTTCATAGCATCTAGAAACCCCAGTCAGGATCATTGCCTTGTGCAAAGTTTTATCTAGGTACTCTGAAAAGATTGTCCTTGCTTCGGATTACTCACACGCTAAGCAGACAAAATCAGTTGAAGCAAAAGAGATGCAACTTATGATCTGTATGTTCAGAGTGACATTCCAGCCAAGAGGAGCAAAAGCAGCCAAGGCAGTGAGTGTGGTACTGGGGGGAGAGAGGATGCAATGGGACTTATGCCTTGTTGCAGCACCCTTGGAACCAGAATGGTACAGGGGTAAGTATTGTACTATGAAGGCTGTTGTACTATGAGGACCAGGTGCTGCCTCACCCCTGTCATGAAATCTACAGAGAATGCCACCCAGAAGGTTCAGAAGCAGCCAAGGCATGAGACCTCTAGATTTCATAGACATTAGAGCTGGAATCATTGAGTCCAGCCCCCTGCCTAAAGGGCAGGAAGTCAGCTAGGGTCAAATGATCCCAGCAAGATAAGTATCCAAACGCTTCTTAAAGGAGTCCAGAGTAGGTGCTTGCACCGTGTCTGGAGGGAGCCTATTCCACACCTTGGGGGCTTGGACAATAAAGAAGTTTTTCCTTATGTCCAGCCTAAAACAGTCTTGGAGGAGTTTGTGACCATTGGTCCTTGTCATCACTTGGGGCGCTCTGGTGAACAGACCTTCCCCCAGGTCCTGATGCACACCTCTGATATAGGCTTCCACAAGGTAACCCCTGAGCCTGCACTTTCCCAGGCTGAAGAGTCCCATGGCTCTCAGCCTCTCTTCTGAGAGTCATGGCCTGAAGAGTCCCATGGCACTCAGAAGCAAGGCCTATTCTCCTGTCCTCTGATCATGCACATGGCTCTCCTCTGGACTCTCTCAAGCTTCTCCACATCCTTCTTGAATTGTGGAGCCCAGAACTGGACGCAGTACTCCAGCTGCGGCCTCACCAAGGCCGAGTACAGCAGGAGGATGACATCCTGAGATTTACTTGAGAAGCATCTATGGATGCAAGCCAGAGTTTGGTTTGCTTCAACAGTTGCGACATCACATTGGTGGCTCATGTTCATATTGTGGTCAATCATGACCCCCAAGTCTCTTTCAGCCTTGGTGCTGGTGAACGTAGCACTACTGAGCCTATAAGTGTGCTGCAGGTTTTTTTCCCCCAAGGTGGAATACCTTACATTTGTTGGTATTGAATATCATCAGATTTGTATCTGCCCACTTTTTCAGTCTATCCAAGTCAGCCTGGATCACCAGCTTATCCTCAGCTGTGGATGCTCTACCCCAAAGTTGGTGTCATCGGCAAACTTGGCCAGTCCACTTCTGACACCAGTATCCATGTTGTTGATAAATATATTAAGCAGGACAGGTCCAAGGACTGAGCCTTGGGGACAATACTGGTCACGGAGCGCCATGATGATCCATTTCCATTGACCACCGCTCTGAGTCTGGCCTTGGAGCCAATTCCCCAGCCATCAGATTGGGATGTAGCCGAGGCCACCGCTGGCCAACTTTTCCATGAGGAGATCGTGGGACACCAGATGAAAGGCTTTTTTAAAGTCCAGATATATGAAATCAAATCTCTTCTCCCTTGTCCAGGTGATGTGTCATCTGGTCATAGAAGAAGATGAGATTGGTCAGGCAAGACTTAACCGCGATAAACCCATGCTGGCTGTCCCTCAGGATGTTGCCATCAGCCAGCTTGTCAAGAATGGTCTCTTTGATGATTTTTTTTCTAGAATCTTTCCAGGGATTGAGGTCAAGCTGACTGGCCTGTAGTTCCTTGAATCTACTTTCCTCCCTTTCTTGAAGATAGACACCACATTGGCCTTCTTCCAATCTTCAGGTACTTCACCTGAGTGCCAGGAATTTTTGAAAGTCTTTGCCAGTGGCTGGGCTATGACTCCTGTCAGCTCCTTAAGTACTCTGGGGTGCAATCTGTCAGGATCTGCTGACTTGAAGGTGTACAGCCTCTCAAGGTGTTCCTTTACAAGGTCTACACTGATGCTGGGTATAAATTCACCCTCACCCTGGCCATCCCACATCTTGCTAGAGAAGGCAGTCCCTTTGGGTTGATGAAAAAACGATGCAAAGTACCCATTAAGCAGGTTGACTTTTTTCTGGATGTTGGTTGTCAGTTGTCCCGTTTGGTTTAGCAGGGGTCCAATGTTACCCTTGCTTTTCTTCCAACTCCCAATATATCTAAAAAAGGACTTTTTGTTGTCCTTGATATGTGTAGCCAGGTGGAGTTCAGTTTCAGCCTTGGCTTTCCTGGTTCACTCCCTATAGGTACGGACCAGTGCAGAATAATCCTCCTTTGTGGTGATTCCTATCTTCCATCCTTTATAAGCCTCTCTTTTTTTGGCGTAGGAGGTCCACGAGTTCCCTGCTGAGCCAAGGGGGTGGCTGTTCCCTTTTGTTACCTTTCCTCCGAGATGGGATGGACATCTCTCATGCTTCCAGGATTGCTCCCTTAAGGATCAACCACTCCTCTTTGACTCCTCTCCCTGTTGAGTCATGGCCCCTTAGGGCCTCAACAACAAGCCTCCTGAAGTTATCAAAGTCAGCTTTCCTAAAGTCGAGGACTTCTCCATTGCTGACTGACTTGCCAGCTTTGCGTAGATAGTAAAAGTGATCAGCTCATGGTCACTGTCTCCTAGCTTTCCTTTAATT